CGGCGAGGATGACAGAGCTATGGAGGCACGACTCAGTGGCATTTTCGCCTTCTCTGGTGGTTGGCGGTGTGTTTGCGAGGCATCTTCTTTTCCTCTACCTTGTTCAACTTTGCAGAATCTTCTTCTCCCTTGTTTTTTCTAGTTTTGGTTCGCATTGCAAGGAGCGAGGGTTTCTTTCCTCTTCTCTTTCTCAATTCTGGGTGGGCTTTTTGCAGGTAGGACGCGAAATCCTTCCTTCGAGACGCATGACTTCGTTTTTCGGCGTCTCTCGTATCACGAGAGTCTTAGTTAGAGGTGTCTTCCAGTGGCAAGCGCGACAGTTCGTGACGCAAGGATCTCGTCCGCTAGTGTCTTCGCGGCAAGGATTTCGAATGGGGTTTAGGGTTTTTCTGTTCTCACGTGAGGCTCGCGATTTGGGGTTTCCTTCTTGGATTTTTTCTGTTTGTTTCTTCTCTACAGGATTGTTGGTGGGAGCTTGAGTTCTCGATCTTGCGGTGTTCGCCTTTTCGTCTTGGGTGTGAACCTTGTGGATGGTATGGAGTATTTTGGAAGTATATTTGTAAGAAGAAGTAGAAGCATCACAAGTGCATAACCTTCTGTGACCGCTCATCAACGTATCATCCGAATGAGTGTTTATTGGGTATTGTGGTATGAGTGTTTATTGGATATTGTGGAATGAGTGTTTATTTTGTATTGTGGTATGAGTGTTTATTGGGTATTGTGGTATGAGTGTCTATTGTGTATTGTGGAATGAGTGTCTATTGTGTATTGTGGAATGAGTGTCTATTGAGTATTGTGGGATGAGTGTTTATGGGGTATTGTGGGATGAGTGTCTATTGGGTATTGTGGAATGAGTGTCTATTGAGTATTGTGGAATGAGTGTCTATTGAGTATTGTGGGATGAGTGTTTATGGGGTATTGTGGGATGAGTGTCTATTAGGAATTGTGGTATGATGGGATGAATATCTATGGTGCGATTGTTGTATGATGGTATGAGGGTTATGATGTTTGTTGAGTGTATCAAAGTAATTATGCATGTTTTATAAATGATTTGTTGCATGTTAGCTCACCCTACTTGTTTGTGTTTGTGTATGCGCGATGATCGTATAATTCGTTATACGGGAGCAGATGAAGGAATGTCTTTTGATTCAATGCCAATGAAGAAAGAGATAGAAAAATAAATTAGAAGATTTCGAGTTATATTTATGAGTTTGTAGTTGAAATCTGAGTTTAAAATATATATATGTATATATATATATATATATGTATATATATATATATGTATACATATATATATATATATATATCAACTATGAATTATTAAGTGTGAGATTATGGGATGTTACACTTGTCAAACCAGGCATATTCATGAGGTCAAGAACTTTCTTTGGCACAACATGTGAAAGGTAACAATAAAAACTGTGAAATCATGTTTAAAATGTGGACTTCAAATTTAACTCAAAGGTACAAAACCTCTTTATAATAAAAAAATTGTGAAATCATGTTTAAAAATAAATTTTAAGTAGAAAAAAAATTATATCTACTTATATATTCTAAATTGATTTTATCCCTATTACATAGGAATAAGGAATAAGGAATAAGGACTAATACATACATCTCATAAATTAAATCTAAATATTGAATGAATAGAGAAAAATAGAAGAAAGGCTAAAGAATCATACTAGCAAGTCCAATTTGATTGACAACTTTGACAAATTTACCATGCAGTTTTGGTGTCCATACCATACGAGACTTCTTTCTTGAAGGGATTCACCGACATTATCAAATTTTCTTGAAATTTCAAGAGTAGAAGAAGAAACAAATTTAGAATTCCCGCTAAAATAATCTTTTCGCATCCTATTCTCATTCATGGACTTCCTAACAACATGTGTCCACATGTTCTTGAGTCGATCCTCATGCAAAGGCTTAATCCAGTAATCACAACCTCCAAGTTTTATACTCTTCATTACAGATTTCTTGTTATCATCCCAAGACATCACTACATAGTAAATTTGATCAGTTAAACAAGTTCAAAATCTAAAGAAAAACATAAAAGAATAGTTACATACTGATGACAGAAACATCAATTTCTTGGTTAGCAAATAAGAATTCATAACCATCCATCTTTGGCATATGAACCTCCATCAATACTAAATCAATACCCACTTTTCTTTCTTGCAAAATCTCCGTAGCACGTAACGATTCTGTGCATGTGATAACTACAAAAAACCTTACAATTATCATTAAAAAAATCAAATATTATCTCTTAGTTCAACAAATAGGTGATCAATTTAGTATTCTATATCTAACCTTCATAGCAATATTCGTCACATATCTTCTTGATGCATTCAAGAACAGTAGAGTCCGTATCAACGACGAGTATCCTCAATTTGATGGAAATTCACGAAAAGTCTTTTCGAAAAGAAATTCTGATCATTGCTTTCTAATGACTCTTTGACCATAGAATGGAGTATGAAAATGAAAAAAAAAATGTAAAATTTATCATAATTTATATTCACATGTTTAAATTTGATTCAAGATACAGTTCATTGAAACTATTCTAACAAAATTATTTAATCTTTTGATTTTTCTTTTCAAAGATAGTCAATTAATTATGACAGACATTTAATATTAGTTAATTGTGGTGATTGAAAAATTTAGTTGAAAAATGCATAAACAAAATTAGTTGCTCCATATTTTCTTTTACTTATTTAAATATCTTTAATGACTTATTTTTGAAGAATTGAATATAAACGAATAGGAGATGATTTTGAAAGACTCTCCTTAAGGTTTCTTTCCAATTAAGATTTTAGTTTGTAAATAATATCAAATTACTATTTTTTTTTATTCGTATACGAAGTTATTGAAAATCTGAAGTAAATGTTAAAGAAAATAGTACTTTTTCTATACTTATTCATTTAGTTCTTATGCTCGATCATTTTATAAATTAATTTTCACATGAACGAATAATATTGCAATACATTTTTATTAAATACGTGAAAGTTACCGTATTTAGAATATTAAAAGAATAAATATTGCATTATAAACATAATAAGATTTGTTTCATAAAAATGTAAGCAAAGTGATAATGGACCAGCATGTAATTATAATTGGCAAAATAGTTAACTTTTTTGTGTCAATAAAACTAAAAAGATGAAGTTTGATTTAAGTAATATACAAATTAAGAATTTATAACGTGATTTAAGATAAAGTTATCGTATTTAAAATTGTTTTTAGAAAAACTATAGATGCTATAAAATCATTAGTATTTCTCGTCTCCTCACTTTCAGTTTATGTTATAGTTTTATTACTTTTGATTTAAATTCTCAATTTTGAAAGGAAAAATATATTTACAAAGGTATTTTGTACTCTGACATTCAAATCAAGATTTCTTTCTCGATATCTTCTCTCAATATGTCTTATTTGTCACTAAGGTTTGTATTCTTATAATATATGTATGAAGTTGTAATAATGTAACATGTCAAAGGTGTTAAAAAGATAGGTAGACTTTATTAAATTAAGAGGAAGTGAATTAATTTTAATTTTTTCATATATTTTTACACAATGCACTTTTCTTGAAACTTATTGATACAGGAATTAGAAAACGCAATAAAAGAATTAATCATAGTATCTAAGAATGTGGAATCTGATTGATTGAATTATTATAGATTATGACTTTTAATACATTTTTGTTTTTTTTTATAATATAAAAAGTAAGTTTAGATTAAATTTGAAGTAAAGTTAAAAAAAAAATTATACTTTTCTACACTTACCCATTTAATGTACAGAAAAACAAGCTATTATGTTATTGTGCCATGCTTTCTCTTATTATATGACTATGCTTAATTAATTTTCACATGAACTAATAATATTAAAATATATTTTATTAAATAAGAGAAAGTATACTTGAGTGACAGATTTGAATGGTCAGTCTTGGAAGGAAAAAGTATTTACAAAGGTAATTTGACATTCACATCAATATTTTGTTCTTAATATTTTTCTTTCAATATGTCTTATTATCACTAAGGTTTGTATTCTTATAATTGATGGTGTTAAAAAAATAGATAGATTTTATTAAATAAAGAGGAAGTGAATTAATTTCAATCTTTAAAAGTTTGAGGGAAGTTGATGAATCTTTAAAATATTGAGAGCACTTGATAATATTTGATATAAAAAAGCACTTGTATATTTTATTGAGAAAACAACTCTTCTTTATTGATACTCTTTATCAAAATATAATTTGTAAACTGATAATGACATATGTCATCGATTATATTAACTAATAACATATTATTTTAACTAAATTTAAAAAAACAAATTGCAACATTTCTTGAAGATAATTATTATATAATCATTTAATCAATTAAACACACTATTCATTGTAAAAATTAATTTAATAAATTATAACAAGAATATAACCAATTACATAATTGGAAATATAAGAGTCTGAATAACACTTTTATTTAATTGGCTAATTCCTTATATAGTCAATTATATTGTTGTTAGAATTTTGAAGAACAATTTAACTAATTATGTAATTGATTAAAAACGCTAAATTTCATTTTTTTTTTACTGTTTTTAAGTTATCAGAAAACATTTAATTAGTTTTAATTCAATTTGAAAGATTGTGTATTGTATGATAGAGTTTCAATAGTATGTTGTGTGAAAGACTTAAATTAAAAACAAAGATAGTTATAAAATAAGCTTGAATCTTTAACAATATCTTCAAATATCATTAAAAGCTTACCTTGTGGAAAACGGAATGCTTCTTTAATATCAACAAAAGGATGGTGGAAAATCATAAATTTTCACCATTCATCATCCAAAACTGTATGCACTACAATGGTTTTAGGGTGTAAGAAAAAGAAAACATTGCCCAATTGATCCAACATTATGTAGGCCCACCTGAAAGCCCAATCTAAGAAAGGTCCAATAGAAAATGGGACCCAGCCTGCCGTGCATCCCAAGCTAGTAGTATATTATCCACATTCAATTCGTTGAACCACTTCAATCTTCTTCAAATAAAACCCTAGACTCCTCAGAACCCAACGCAAGCAGAAGAAAAAGAACAACTCCTTCAGACAAACCAAACCAAACCTTTGAACCATGTCAGGAGTCGGACCTCTGTCGCAGGATTGGGAACCGGTGGTGCTTCGCAAGAAAGCCCCCACTTCCGCCGCCCGCAAGGATGAGAAAGCCGTCAACGCCGCTCGCCGCACCGGCGCCGACATCGACACCATAAAAAAATGTTTTCCCTTCCCCTTGAATTTCTTCAATCGGATATAGATTATTGGAAAAAAATAGTTTTCAATTTTTTAATGCTTTTGATCGAAGCGTCTGATTGATTCCGTTGAATTTTTTTCCGATTAGTGATTTTCTTTTAGGAGTTCGGGTTAGACGTGTTGGTCTTTTATATTTATATATATGTATTTTTTTTTCTTTTTTTATTACGGTTTATTTCTTTTAGTTATGCAGGCAATTTTTATTTGGTGTTCTGTTTTTTGATTTTGTTGCAAGTTATTAGCGTGTTACCTTTCATCTACGTTGCTGTTAATCAATGTTTTTATTGAGTTTGAATATGGGGTGGGACTGTTGTTTATGGATTTACACGTTATAAGTGATTTTTGTGATTGTCTGAGAGATGGATTTTCTTGCATGTGGCACTTTAATGAATAAGAGTTGAGTTTGTGATAACGTGATTGGATGCTTCTGATTTAAATGTTTACCGTTTTAGTCTTCTTTGTGTTTGGTTGGTCAGAGTGATGATCGTTAAGTTGTTGTATGCAGATAATGCTGGAACAAACAAATCTGCTTCTAGTAGCACTTCATTGAATACTAAAAGGTTGGATGATGATACCGAGAATCTAGCTCGTAAGTATGCTTCACTTTATGTATTCTACTAATTCTGTAGTTTGCATTTTCTACACCCTTTAAAAAAGGTTCGTTCCATCTTTTCTTCGGTGAGAAATTTGCATGCAGCATGGTTTGATTGGTTCTATGCTATGACCTTTAGAAGCTTGTGTCATTTGTGCCAACCTTTGGAATGCTTACATGGTTAACTTAGGAAATTCATATTTCTTATTTAGCATGGGTTATTGTAGACATCCCAGACGTGCGCACACAGTTTTATTTCATCACTTAAAGTTAAGTTATAGAAGTCTATTCTATAAACACAGTGCAAAATGACTGAATAGCTTGGACTTGGTAGAGAAACTTTTGTGGGGGTGTGGGGGTAGAGAATTTCATTTGAGGTTGTAATTGTGATTTGGAATCTGTGCCAACTGCCAACACGTTTTATTTTTGCAAAATTTGTTCTGTTACCTAGCCACTTGAGCAATATTTTTGTTGTTGTAGTGAAGAAAATATTATCCTTTTCATTATTCACATAGCTATATTAATAACTAAACATCTAAAGTGAGACAATTCTGTTTGAACAAGATTTATTGTTACAAAATCACTTTCAGGTAAATGTTTCGAAGTATATATCAATCCGTTATTTCATTTTTTTGGTCCGAAATCAATTTTGCGAAGTTGAATTAAACATAAGATAAACTTTATTAACACTAATCCTGACACACTCTTAGTGTACTTGTGTAGTTCTATCTGCTCTAGTCCACGTGACAATTAGTACATGTCAGGGTGGGCATAGAACTAGCGACATTATGACAGTAGTCCCCCACCCATCTGATGCGAGCATATATTCTGTATAAATCAAGATCTACATTATTAGATTGTTATATCATTATGCTACAGCAATTATAAAACCGATTATTTCCTTCACTGTGCAATGTGGTGATTATATTTATGTTTCTGTTTGATGAGATAATTTCTATGGTGATCTGCAATTCTCTTTTGTCTTTCCTACAATGTACATGTGTTGATTATAGATTTGCTTATGTTTGATGAGATAACTTCTCTGGTTGGCAGCAATTCTCTTCTTTTTCTTACTTATTTTGGCCGTTGTTGTGTTTATACCTAGTTCAATGGTGATGTGCAATCCATGTAAACTCACCTAATGGTTGTGTATTTAGGTTGTTCTGATAACATTTTTATAGATAGAATTGAGGAGCTTGATTCAACAGAAGTGTGTTACTATAACTTTGATACCACGATATAACTTTGGTCATGAAAGAGTTTCTATTTTAATGCTCATACCAACATTGAACTTGTCTGCTAAGATAAGACTCCTGTTGTTGTTGTGTACCTTAACTATATGATATGAGGGTCAAAGATTGTGGTATCTTTTAGATTCTTCTGATGACATTTTCTTATAGATAGAATTTGAGGGGCTTCATATAAACAGAATTGTGTCGCTACATCTTTGATACCATTATATAACTTTGAACATCAATAGAGTTCCTTTTTCTTCATTATTTGAAGTTTTTAACATCAAAACTTCTCTTGTATATGATTCAACCTTAACCTTCCTACTTTAATGCCCATTCTGAGTCATTGAACTTGTGAACAGACGATCGGGTACCCACTGAACTCAAGAAAGCTATAATGCAGGCCCGGATGGACAAGAAACTAACTCAGTCTCAGCTTGCTCAAGTACTGTTCTCTTCTCTCTTTCACTTGCTTTCACAAACCTCATTTATACTTATGATTTTAGTTGGGTAGTTACTTATAACTTATGATTGTTTTCAGTTGATCAATGAGAAGCCTCAAATAATCCAGGAGTACGAGTCGGGGAAGGCCATTCCAAACCAGCAGATAATTGGCAAGTTGGAGAGAGCCCTTGGTGCCAAACTGCGTGGCAAGAAATGAAGCTGCTAATCTGACGGTTCTGTATGTAGTTTAAGGCTTTTATTTCACTGTCCAAGGTTGGTTGCAAGAGAGACTACTAGTGTGGCAACTTGAGTGTTTCACCTGCTTAAACATGATTATGTATTTGCATAAATAAAGATGTATTTCCAGCACAAATTATCTTACCTTGGAGTTGCGATTATGTGTTCATGATATAACTGGAGATCCACAATCTGTTCATTCGTTGGGATCTAGTGCCATTTAATATGGATAAGAAAGAACAAATGGAATTAAATTATACTAGTGCCTTTTGCCTAACCTTTTTTTCTTTTTGACTTTTGGACTTTCAGTCCTTTTGTTTAACATCTAAAGTTTAGGCAAAGAAAACCCTTTAAAAGATTAATGCTTTATGAAGAAAAAGTTTATTATTATTGTTTTTAAAAATAGGTTTAATATTTAATATCCATCTGCTTCAATATTGTTAAAGGACGTAGTAAATTTTTTTTACTGTGATTTGTGCGGTAATACTTGCTTTGAGAATGGCGTATGTATTTTTAGAGTGATAACATGTATATTTACTTATTAATTATTGATTAAATAGTATTTTTATAAAAAATAAAATTTACAATAAAAAATATGATATTATTGAGTATTTATGATAAGAAGGTATTATTTTTTAATCAATGAATTATAATTATATAAATATTAAATAATAATTTGTTTAGATAATGGTAAAAAGTGATTAAATATGTATTTTAAAAATAAATTACAATAAAAAATCAATATAAATTTGATATTACTTGATAAATTAAAATTATTTAATAAATTAAATGTATTTTACTAATTTAAAATGAAATATATATATATATATATATATATATATATATATATATATATATTTATTTATTTATTTATTTATTTTTATTTTTTTATTTCTTTTTTGCATACTTAATTTTAAAAATTTAGTATTACTATTATCTAATCAATGTAAATATTTTTATAAAAATTGGAATGGTTTTGAATAATATTAAGAAGTTCATTTGTTATTCTCAATTGAGTTATAACTTTATGCATATAAATCGATAAAATTATAAACTAATTAATGGATATCTCACCATATAAGTCTTGGTTTTAGTCTTATTTTAGAAGGTAACTTTTTTATCTTCTTTTTTTATTCAAATATGATCTATTGGTTTAAATTGTAATCTTTTTTCAATTATATAATCAACTATTCTCATTGATATGTGGTCTTTTAGTTTAAAAATGCACTTATATTGGGATCTTTTATGTCTCGTTGAATGATAAATGATGATGAAGTTTCATTTAAAAAAACATTGTTTTGCTAAATATAACTATAGTACTTATAGTATATCTTATTTTGTAAAATCTATATAAAGTTTCAAATTCTTAGACATATTTGAATTAAGTGAATAATTAATAATATATTTGGAAGAGAAATTTTTAGAAGGTAACTCTTTTTATAAAAAAAAATAATTATTTTATGAAACAAAATTTTATTTGAATGCATAACTAAGTGCGCACTCACGGATTTTTTTTTTTAAATTTTGATTAAGAAAATTAATATAATTACTATTATAGTTTAATAATAGCTTATTTACATAATTAAATTTAAGTGTTTTAATTATGTATAGTTATATAAAATACTTAAATAATGAATTGGATAGAATAAGAAAATTTAAATAATTAATTATCATTATTTTTTATAACAAATTAATTAAAAATAAATAGCATTATTTTAATATTGATTTTTTATGTTAAAATAATTATTATTAATAACAATAATAATAATACTATCAATGATAAAAATAATAATAATAACAATAATAAAATTAAAAAATAATATTTGAGTATGAATTTTTTTTTAAGTTTAAAATTGATAATAATTAATTAGTGATGTATGATAAAACAATATTGTGTATGGTTAAAAAATACAATTAAATTTTTAAGTTATATATTATATTAAAATAAACTATGTATGTACATATCTTTGTTAAAGTAATATGATCTCATACAAAATAAATAATCTTGTAGTTAATGTTAAATTTTTAAATAGATGCACATGTAGATATAAACAAAAGAAAGAAATATTAAAAATATGTTGCCATATGAAATTAAAGAAAAAAAGAAATTAAAATTAAAATATTAAACAAAAATAACATAGAGATATGAATAATCAACATAAAGTAAAATGCAAAAATACTCTAAAATATAATCCTATTAAAATAAGTTAGGGTAACGCGAACTTGAGGATAATTTTTTTGAACATATATTGTTATCAATATAGATAGTGAGTTTATAATAACTAATTAGTGATGCATACATATTAAAATAAAATACATATACATATCGTTGTAAATAGAAGCACACAGACAGCATAAAACATAGACATATATTGAAAAATATTGAAATATGAAATTAGGGAAAATAAAGTTAAACTTAAAATATTATAAACAAATTAACATGCACATATGAATAATCAATTAAAGTAAAATACATTGTGAAATGAAATCACTATTAAAAAAATTAGAATAACATAGAAATTGAGGTTAAATTTTTAAATAAAAATACAGGCAATTATTGTTATCAATATAAACATTGAATTTATAATAACTAATTATTGATATAAACAAAGATGTTTACTTTTTTGTTTGAAAAGATAATATTAGGATTAGAAAATAATATTTCAATATGAGTTGGTTTGTATTAAATTACAAAAGTGGCATTATACTTGATAGAAATATGTAGTAAAACAATATAGTTATATGATTAAAATTGAGGTCACATTTTTAAAACAGAAATACATGCAGGCAGCGGTATTGGTATCAATGTAGACATTATTGAGTCTATTTATTGATGTGTAGGCGAGTTTATTCTTTTATTTGGAATGGTAAATATTTAAATTAAAAAATAATATTTGGATATGAATTCTTTTGTATTAAATTATAAAATTAACATAATAATTAATTAGTGATGCATAATAAAACAATAATAAAACAATATGGTTATATGATTAAAATTTTAAGTCAAAGTTTTGAGTTATATATTATATTAAAATGAGAGGTGTGTTCACGGTCGCTGTTAAAGTAAAATATATTTATATTATGAAATATGATTTTGTAGATAATGAAAACAAGGTTCAAATATGTCTTTAATTTATTAATTATCAAGCAATTTTGTTTTTAAGTTTATTTTTCAATGACATATTTTAATTATTTTCTTTAAGAAAATCATAATTTTTGTCGTCCAAAATCAACTGCTCTCGGGTGCACCTATTTGAGTTATGCTGTTGTTAGTAAAATTAGAAAGAGGTACTCCCACCTATAAATGGAATGTCGACAATGATTATATGAACAATGAAGTATCTCTCCAGAATAAATTTCCAATGAGATAATTAACAAACAATTTATGACCTCCTAGTCTGAGAAAATAAAAATATTAGCTGGTTAATGATAGACAAGCACCAGAAACTTTTGACTTTTTTCCAATCAACTACTTTTGACTGGATTTTAGAAAATTAGATGGTTAAATTATTTATTTATTTAATGGACTTGGACAATTGGCTAACATTTTTTTACTTTTAACATTGGATACGAAGATAGCTTCAATCATTGCAGAAGGGCACCATGATGGTAAAGCATCTCCAATTGTACATGTCTCTGGTGAAGAGATTTGCTTTAAACAAGTATTTTGCTAGTTTTAAATTTTGAAAATTGATATTCCAAATTGATGAAGTTAAAAGCTCATAGAGCGAGTAAAAATTTAATTCATTTTATTAGTGCATTTATATGATTGAAAAGAAATAAAATTTAATGCTAATCTGTAGAAAATTACTAGTAAACCTCATTTTAATAATATCTGCCTTTTGTTTCCATTCTATTGTGCCAAAGATGGGTGTAGTTTCTTTCACCTTTGATTACAGCTGTTATTTGTTGTACTTTTTATGTATTTGCATTTATGTTAATTTTTTGGTATTTCATGAGCAAATTGGTAACAAAGCGGATCGTCTTAGAATTTAATCAGACAGTCTTGGTGTAGTAATTTTCTGTTGCTTTAATATCTAGTTTGAATATGTGATAGTTTGTGTATGTGATTTCTAGATCGTTCCAAACTATTTGAATTTTCTAAATGATTTGAATACCTAAATAATTAATTATTACGAAGTAAAATAGACTAAATGTAGGAGAACCATATTAGAAAGTGAGTTTTTAAGCCTAACTCAACCCCACAAAACCGGCTTGTAAGGTGAGGTTTGCACCTCACTTATATATTATAAATTGGTCTTATCTCTAGTCGATGTGGGACTTCCAACACACCTCCTTCACGTCGAGGTATAGACATCTCGTGCGTGATAGTAGAAATTGGGTGGTCCAATAGCGGCCCGATTGCGAGTGGAATAGAAGAATAGAATGCCCACTTAGAACTCGCTAGGATAGGCACTAACCATGGCTCTGATACCATAAGAAAGTGAGTTTTTAAGCCTAACTCAACCCTAGAAAACCGGCTTGTAAGGTGAGGTTTGCACCTCACTTATATATTATAAATTGGCCTTATCTCTAGTCGATGTGGGACTTCCAACAAACCATCGTAATTGCCAGCAATGTTTCAAGTTCTTTCTTCGTTGACATTTATCATGGTTGATGCAGATAAAAATACATTGATGAACCCGATGAGATGGCAGGAGAGAGGTTAATAGTGAGATGAACCCAGTCCAATAGCTTGGTGTCACGTACCTAGTAGGAACGTCCCATTAGACCGTTGTAGACGAAGAGAACGAGGATGAGAGGCTTTCCGAGGGGACGACGGAAGGCAACGGGGTCGAGGTGAAAGGTTGGGACGGAGGTGGTGGTGTTGAGGGTGGAGGCCGAGGCAAAGAGAAGGAGGAGGGCCGCATGGGTGGGGAAGATATTGGAGCGGATTTTGTAGAAGTAGGGAGTGATAGAGAGATATGCACCCGAGAGAGTGGAGAGGGTTTGGTAGGAGAAGGAAGTTTCAGAATCAAGAATCAGAGAGTCACATTCGACGCAGGAAGGGAGAAGGAACCATGGTAATGAGAAGAGAAAATGACAAAACATTTTCACTTAAATTTCAAATGACGTGGTATATTACCCTTAGCCACCTCAGCTTCTTTTTAATACGGTTGGTTTTCGAGGACGAAA